CCACTTTGCGATACCCGAAAAGAGTGTGCTTCCTATATATCCAATATTATAGTATGACTGGTTGTTATAGAAAACCAATGTATCAATTAAGGGATAATTTTGATAATGCACGATACTTACACATTCGGACCGCGGAGGACATTGGTTAAGAGCTCTAATTTGGAAGCATCAACCTTCTCCAAGGGGTTGTAAGGGACATTTCCAGCCGCTATAACCACCTCTGAATCTTCAGCTTGTCCAGGAACATCCTGCACGAGGACTGTTGTTTCCTTAAAACCTTCCGGAAGGGCTTCATCCATCTCAACAATTATTTGCTTCTTCATTTTTTTGGGTACAACCGGCGTAGGAATTTTAACTGCTATTGCTTCGACTGCAGCATCGTTGTTTGGTTCATCCTGTAAAGAAGTATTATTGTAAACAGCATGATTAAACAATTTCAAAATGTAATGATAATATTTACTGGGAAGATACTCACAATATTTTCCAGTGTACCAACTGTTGTGTCTGCTTCATCTAACCCTGGGTTTGAATCCTCTTGTTCTTCCACCCCGTCGACAATCCCCTGCTGCTCCAACACTCCCTTTTCAAATTAACGTGCAGAATTATTTAAATGTACGCATACAATCCTATGTACGTATGTTAATAACTGTGTATAATTTTAAACCAAACACGAGATTTTTACCTCCTTTACATTAGCTGCATCCACATCCATGGAGGCTTCGGTTGCCAACTCCTGTAACACCTGCATAATAGAAGATTATAAATTTAAACAAGCCTACACTATTTTATTTAAAAATATAGTTAGCTTACATTCTTAACTACTGCAAATGGTGAAGGGGGATCCCTTAGGATGCCCTCAAGTACTGAGTCATCCACTTTACTCTCTGCAACTACATTGGGTACATCTCCCGCATCAACCTGTGGCAGTAGTTATCAACTTCATCGGCTATATCCTCTATTTTGTGATGTCTGAAACAATCATTACTTATACGTACACGGGAAATAAGAAAGACAAATGTACGTACACTTACACCGGGTTCCTCGGTGTGTTCAGCCTGATAAGATGTATCTCTATCATTATCCTCAGAAATTTCTGGTTGCTCCCCAACATTTGCTTCACTCTCAAGACCGGCACCATGTTCTTCTCCCTGAAACAAATATACCATACACGTCTTAAGCTTTATGTGAGTACACATATGGAAAACTACATTTGACTATTAGCAGACCATATACCTGTCCAGATGTTGCAGGTAAACCTGATGGATTTTCTACCATCTCTGTGTCAGCAGTTGGTTTTTCATCTGTCCCTCGCTGTGTACCAACTACGACAGGCTCACCACCATCAATTGGTTCTTTATCCTAAAACATAGTATACCATACACTTCTTAAGCTATATGTACGTGGAGAACTGAAAATAATTGATACGCGTACACTTATGGAAAACAGTATGTGACTATTAGCACAAGACATACCTGTACAGAGGTTGAAGGTACAGGAGATGGAATTTCTTCCATCTCTGTGTCAGCAATAGCTTTTTCCTCGGTCCTTGACTGTGTACCAACAAGGACAGACTCACCACCATCACGTGCTCCTTCATCCTGAAACATAGTATACCATACACTTCTGAAGCCTATGTGTACGTACACAACTGGAAATAATTGAAAAAAAAATTTGTACACCACATACCTGATGGGAAGGTGTAGGTCCACCAACTGAAATGTTAGCTACTCCAGTGTCAACCATACCTTCGTCTCTGTTCAAAAAATCTCCTCCATCATTTACAGAAAAACCACCTTCATTGTTGGCTTCATCCTGTACCATAGCAGACAAGTTACAGTTATTAATCTTCATGTACGTACATTTAAAATACTATATATAAATGTACGTACATGCCATACCTAGTCATCTTCCTCAGAGGAAGAGTTACCATCAGAAAGCTGCGTAATCTCCGCAACTGACGTCATTATATTCTTCAGCCTTGAAGACTTTCTTGTTCCAGACTTGAAGACTTTCTTTGTAGACATCTTTTTAGATGCCTTCGTCACACTCATTGGTGCCTTAACCACCGATTTATTTGGGCCCTGTGAAGCATGGGAAGTTTTGGTTGGTTCTATCTTTTTGACCTTTGGATCTAAGGCAGCACGAATCTCCTTACGGACAAATTTCTTCAAGTCTTCTTGCATTTGTTTATTTTGTGCTTCCTGCCTCTTGAAACACCTCCTAAGTTCAACTACAAACTTCTCAAACTGGGGATCTTCAGAACAATCCTCAGCAGTGTCCTCATTTTCTTCTTCCACAACAGATTTCTGTTTTTTCAAAGAAGGTGCATTCGGGGCTGGTACATTTCTTTTCCTCTTCTTCACACCTACGATAGACCAGTTTAATCATTGATTGGTCTTCAAGGGACAATAATCAGAAAGTATAAAAACAACATTTACACTCACGTATCTCTCCAAGTTGTGGTGGGCGCTCCTGCTTTGGAAATGCAGCATTACCTCCAACCCATTCTTCCTCCTTCCACTCATGACCAGCTAACAACAGTCGCTCAATGTAAGCAACTCTTGGATCCTCAACTTCATCATCCCATGACAGGGATGGAGGACAAATATTGTCCTCTGGTTTCACAAGATAGGTTACCTCAACCTACACCAATAAGTTTGTTGACCACTTAGAGAATGTACACTTACTTTTTAAATAATGTACGTACATAAACAATTGTACATACCTCTTCAGCAGCCTCACACTCCAAGATGCTGGATGTCCTGATTGCCCGCAGTGAGGCAAGATGATGGATAGACCTCTGAGTAAATGTCCTGTTAGCTTCATCATCAGGTACTAGCTTAGCAAGGGATGGGATTGTTTCGAACGCAAACAGCTGGAGTGCTAATGGGAATCCATGTAGTGCATAAGACCCATCCTTTACACACCTTATCAGTTTTTGAGCATCTGAAGGGGTTTGGAATTTTGCTATCCTCTCCAAAGTACGGGTAAAAGACACCCTTCCCCAAGGGTATTTGCAGAAGAATTGCACGTCCTTCGTCATCTCAACAGTGAACTCAGAAGGCCTTATGGGGTTATTATGGCACCCTATCACACCATCTACCAAGATTATAAGAGATAAGGCCAGCTGCTTCCACCCATCCATGGTTTCCTCCTCCTTCAGCCAGACCACCAAATCATGCACTGTTGGATTCGGCTTCTCCCCAAACTTCTCCTCAAACAGAGTTTTCCAGACACTTTGACTACCAGCTTTAACCTTTAGCACATCCGTCACGTCTTTCTTGTTGGGATATGTCCCACATTCTAGACCAGTTACCAGACTAAATTCTCTTAATCCGAATTTTATTGGATGACCGCCGAAGACCATCCACATCTCATTCACTTTACTCGTTACTAACTGACGACATATTAGTCCAAGAACAAGTTTACCTGAGAAGGAAGACTTGTTAGCAGGTATCCTAAAAAGGTCCCCAAATGGAGACTCGAGAAGAAACTTCATCTCCTCTTTTCCCTTAAGAACTTGTGCTATGTCAGAAAGGTACTCCGGTTTGGAGTACGCGTTCATCTTCGTCTTGACAGGGTACCGGTCTAGGGCAAAGAGTCTAGGTGGTAACTCTTCAACTATAAGATCTTTAGTCGGAGCCACGCTTGTACTGCCTGCAATTACAAGTGATATACAATTAAGTACGGATGTATGAATTCGTGTACGTACACAGTAATTATCATCATTATATACTCAACATCTGAATTTTGGCGGAAACAGAGATTTCCAATTCAACTTCTCAAATTTTCAAACTACAGATATAGCAAAATCCGGCAACTTCTATCCCTTTAATCAAATAAGCTTTAAGATTCCGATACACCCAAAGAAACTACAAACGGAATAATATCGGAACTTACCCAATTCCTCCGGCGGATTTCTCGGAGGGAGTTTCCTCCTCGGGGATACTCTGAGTTCCACCTTGTCCTTCTCGGGGCCTTCCTGCGTATGCTTCTTCCTAGAGACTACGTCGTTTGGTTTATTCCCAGCCATCTCGAAGGTTGGTATCTCGCCGGATGTTTCTCTGGTCGCCTTCGCCGTAAAAACTGGAACTTTCTCTTCGCCGGTTTTTCGAGTTCAATGCAATGCCTCAAATCAAGTAGCAGACAATTCGAACGGAGATGTCGAAAACGAAGATGGATGAATGAATTCCGTCTCTCTCTCCTTCTTCTTCTTCGTTTTCTTCGACAGTTTCTGCAACGAAAGTTTTTTTTTTTTTTTTTCAAAACTAACTAAACCGTATGATGTAAAACAAAAGAAAGCAACTAAACCGAAATTAACTCTGTCGTTTGGTTTTCGTCGTTAGGGGTATTTTCGTCACAGTTTGGCTTAACTGCTACCACGTGAGAATGAATTTTCACTTTGCCAAAATCTGAGACCAAATCTTTTTTCTATGCTAAACGTGAAAATTTCTTTTTTTTTTATTTGATATGACTTAAGTTACATTGGTGTGTTAGGAAACATCCTGACTCCGTAAAGAGCTGAAATATGAGAAGTAGTTTGTTTTTGAAAAAGAAAAGAAATGAATATATATATTCGTGTACTATATATATTGTAAAAAGTTACAAATGTGTATGCACACACAATCACCTTACCACCTACTACTTGATATCATACAAAACTATGTGATATATCAACTTTAATATAATGCGAACACGTGTTACGCATTGAAATAAAAGAATCACAACATGTATGTATACAAGATTTGCAATTTTGATTATATTTCTCTACTTTGAAATCGTCTAAAGAGAAAAGAAAAAAGCTAAAAACAAATTCCAAAATGAATTCTTATATAAACGATATGCTGACATGCATATGTAAAAGTAAATAAGTATGTAAGACATATTTTTCTGTTAACTTATTCATATCTCTAAAGTGTAAACACTAGTTGATCATTAAAATATTCTAAAAGATACGTAGACGTATTATTAAGTGAACAAAATAATGAGTGTATCTTTTTAATCTAACTTTTGCTCGACTATAAATACGAGTCACTTCCCATTAGGTTTTGCCTGCCTCAAACAAATAGAGCTTATCTCATCACTCACCAAACAACTCTCATCAATATAAAGAGAAGAGGGGGTGGGAGAGTTCTATATATACACATAAACATATTGATATAGTAGTGTTATATAACCAGAGATATATTCTCGTTTAAGTAATAAAGATGAAAGGTGGAAGCATGGAGAAATTGAAGCCGATATTGGCGATAATTTCACTGCAATTTGGCTATGCAGGCATGTACATCATCACTATGGTCTCGTTCAAGCATGGCATGGACCATTGGGTTCTTGCCACATACCGTCATGTCGTCGCCACGGTTGTTATGGCTCCCTTTGCTCTCATTTTCGAGAGGTACCACTACACACACATATATCCACATCACATATTATGTATGTATATTGCATATATGTATACTTATTTTAATAATTGTGAGTTTGCAGGAAAATTAGGCCCAAGATCACACTACCAATATTCTGGAGGCTTCTTGCTCTTGGAATATTAGAGTAAGTCTCTTTCATTAGAAAACCATGTTTTTTGCTTTGCAATTAGAAAGTTCGGTTCATACAACTTTAAGGTTCTTGTATTTATCATACAAAAGTTTGTATCTAGAAAATAAATCTTATAACTAGTTAATAATAAAAACGTACGGTGCAAAATCAAAAGTTACTTTTTTATAGTTGTAATGCAAATACATGTGTTCGGGTACGTTACTTTATCATGCTAATTCGGGTACGTTACTTAGGGAAATGAAATACTCACATATCGTACCCAAAAAAATTAGACTCTTATAAATATGATTTTTAGTTTAGATAGTAACAACATAATTAATCAAAGTTATAGTCAGAGATTGTTTAATGTTTGAAGGATTCTACTATTAAGATAAAGTATTATATACAATTTTTTTTGCATATACCAAAATTCGTCTAGAATTGGACATACGAGATAGGTCTTTCAATCATTTGAAAAGTTGATTAATAAGTAAATAATAATATTTTTTAGAATATCTATTATCACATAAAATATTTACATTGTTTCGAAACTTTAACGTGATAATGTAGAAAAAGGGATGAAATTGGTATATAATAATATATTTCTTGATTATTGGTAATGAGATCATCACCCACAACCACAACAAACATCTTTAATGTGAATGTGTGCTTGTTATCCTACGTACACGTTTTCCTTTTGATCTTTGGAAAAAGCATCTACTTATTATGCACAAACAAAAGATGACGTGAAAAGGCTATGTAATAAAAAATAATGATATTGATAATTGGTATTTATTTGTGAATGATTTTAGGCCCCTTATGGACCAGAATTTGTACTACATAGGATTGAAAAACACGTCAGCATCGTACACTTCTGCCTTTACCAATGCACTTCCCGCCGTCACCTTCATTCTCGCCCTCATTTTCAGGTACTTTCATTCACTCAACAAAACTTTCTCTTATTTACTTTATTACCCCATATTCAATCATAAGTTTGTAATTCATTTTTTTTCTCTAGATTATTTAGATGATTGATGATATTCTAGCCTTGAATTGTCACTTAATCTCCGAGAGTTTTCATGTTTAGTTAATAAAACTTTTTAATGAACTTTTTTTTTTGCTAAGAAACTTTTTAATGAACTAACCATTTAAGTAACACCAATTGCAATGTTAATCAGGCTTGAGACCGTCAACTTTAGAAAGGTCCACAGTGTAGCAAAAGTGGTAGGAACGGTAATAACAGTAGGAGGAGCAATGATAATGACTTTGTACAAAGGTCCGGCTATCGAGATCGTGAAAGCCGCTCATAATTCTTTCCACGGCGGTTCGAGCAGCACGCCCACCGGCCAACACTGGGTCCTCGGAACCATAGCCATTATGGGCAGTATCTCTACATGGGCTGCTTTCTTCATTTTACAGGTAAAATATTTCTTATAATATTTAGCATTTTGAGAAATATTATACTGATAATTAATAAGAAAATATCATTTTTTCATGCAGTCATACACGTTAAAAGTTTATCCAGCTGAGCTATCACTTGTAACGTTGATATGTGGGATAGGGACGATCCTAAACGCCATTGCTTCGCTAATAATGGTTCGTGACCCGAGTGCATGGAAAATCGGTATGGATTCCGGAACACTCGCCGCGGTTTACTCTGTAAGTTAATCATCTACTAATCAAGTTAATAAACACTAACACTAATTAACTTGTCAATTAAAACTTGTTATGTTGTATATTTTTAGGGAGTGGTTTGTTCGGGGATAGCTTATTACATACAAAGCATTGTGATTAAGCAGCGTGGTCCTGTGTTTACGACGTCGTTTAGTCCTATGTGTATGATCATCACTGCCTTCCTCGGTGCATTGGTTTTGGCTGAGAAAATCCATCTAGGAAGGTAATAAAGTCACACTAATCAAATCTTTATAATTCAAGATTAATTAAGTGATACATAACTAATGTTTTGAATGGTATTATTGTAATGTTATGCAGTATAATTGGGGCAGTTTTCATAGTTCTTGGACTATACAGTGTGGTATGGGGAAAAAGTAAGGATGAAGTGAATCCTTTGGATGAGAAAATCGTAGCCAAGAACCAAGAGCTTCCGATCACTAACGTAGTCAAACAAACGAACGGTCATGATGTCTCGGGAGCACCGACTAATGGTGTGGTTACAAGTACCTGATCCAAGTTCCAAAAGAGAAGAAAGATACTTAAACAAAGATTTCATCTCCATGCATTGGAGGTGGAAATTTTGGTTATCTTTCTTGTTGATTTTGTGTTTTTGTTTTTTTTTTTTTACATTTTCTAATCGCTCTACGCTTAACTTTAGTATCTTTTTACATTATGTATGTTTTTCAGCTTCTACTTTCTTGTATTTTGAAATTTCCAAAACGAATGATAAATGAATCATTTGGTAAAACTTGAGCCTACTAAACTATAAAGGGTAACTTTTATAACTCCAAGAAACTATAGTCGATATTTGGATGTTATACATATATAATAAAGAGATTAGAGTTTTTGTTTTGTAACTTGTTAAAATAAGAAACATATACTACTAATTGGGTCACTTGTCTTTGTCTTATCCTAATGGATCTCACTTTCTTTCCTTTTTAATTTTTTTTTTACAAAATTTAAAAATTTATTAATCCCACATGTAATTACGACTCATTTGCATAATGTAAACGATTCCAACCGCAAAACAAATCCAACGACAAGCCAAACCGAGACCTAAACTCTCTAATCTCTGACCTAGCAAATCTCACTTTCTCTCTTTTCTCTCACCAATTACATGGGTTAAATCTATAAATTCAAGAGTTTAGGGTCAAAATTATAACATTATACAAAATAGAGGGATTTATTCTATAACTTGTTAAAGTAAATTACATGTGATACATGTGGGTAATTAATTGATCACTTGTCTTTCTTCATTCTTCTTCTCCGATCCCATCGGATCTCACTTTCTCTACCTCACCGGTAAAAATGGCGATGTGGGTATTCGGGTACGGATCTTTAATATGGAAAACGGGTTTTCCTTTCGACGAAAGCCTCCCTGGTTTCATCAAAGGCTATCGCCGTGTCTTCCATCAAGGTCTCTCTCTCTCTTTCTCCATCTTTATTAAACAATCTTGATTATGATCTTGAGTTATAGTAATGTCAAATATGGAATTTAGGTAGTACTGATCATAGAGGAACTTTGGATTTTCCGGGAAGAACTGTGACATTAGAAGCTGCTCATGGAGAAGTTTGTGTAAGTCTTTATGATACAATTGTTAACTCTATTCAAGTTCTTGGTTTGATTTGTTTCTGTTACTTGCTAATGGAAAACACACAGTGTGGAGTTGCTTACAAGATAACCAAAGAGGAAGATAAAAGAGATGCTTTAATGGTAAGTGAATAAGTGATTATATGCTCTTTGTTGGAATTATGACAAAAACATTTATGTTGTCTGTTTGTTTTGTCAGCATTTGGAAGTGAGGGAGAAGCAATATGATCAGAAAGAGTATGTTGATTTCTTCACTGTGAGTCCATTTTGTTCTCTGCTTCTTCTAACATCAAAGATTGTGTCCTTTTCTTTTTTTGTGTGTGTGTGATGATGCTTTTTACTTGTTGCAGGGCTCTAATGCTTCGGAACCGGCTGTGACTGGAGTAATGGTGTAAGAAACGCATTCGATTACATCACGTCGGTTTATATATAAACGAGTAACAATGTCGATACGTATCTTCCTTTATTTACTTCAGGTACATAGCTTCACCTGACAAGAAGAGCAACAACAACTACTTAGGACCAGCTCCTCTTGAAGATATTGCCAAGTAGGTGGTTTTGTTTTTAGCTTCTTCCTATAGATTACATTTGATCTTTCGTTTCTTGTGTTTGTGTAGACAGATAGTTTTAGCGAAAGGACCTTCAGGGCCAAACAGAGACTATATCTTCAACCTCGAAGAGGCTCTCGCTCAACTCGGTAAAAGAACTTGTACCAATTACTCAGTAATCTTTGGTTTCAGATTATAAAGTACCAACTCTGGTTTTGTGTTCTTTGATACCAATCAGGGTTTAAAGATAAACATGTCACAGATCTTGCAAACCAAGTTAGGCGCATTCTTTCAGAGACCCAGGAGTTAGACATTGATGCCACCGCCAACAATGTCTAGATTCCCAGCTTCTTTTCGATTTACCCGAAAGGACAAACCCAATTGATAAGAGATGCATATTGCATCACAATTCAATCTGTTATCACTATCAATCAACTCTCTTCTTTATCATATTCGATCACATCACAGAGTGGGTATCAAATATATTCAGTGATTCAGCATATGATTCCTCAAGTTATAGTTTGAGTCTGGGATTCCCACTCACTGTATTTAATAGTTTGACATATTACCTGCTTAATATTCATCATAATCTTTAAAGGATAAAGGAACAAAATGTCACTAGCAGAGACAGACACACTTAAACTACAGTGGATGAAAGATTCATTACTGTAAGCCACTGATTCAGAGATAATCGTTAAATCATTTGCTTTCTTCTCCACCATCATCCTCTGCAAACAAAGCCAAGGATCATCAGTTTTAAAACTTGAATGGATGGTCATTTAGATAAGAGATCTAGATTCTCACCACTGTTTGATTCTTCTTTGCTTTGGCTTCCATCCTCAGCTTTTTCATTACCTTCCTCTTCATCTTCAGCATCCTCTTCATTCTCAGTATCTTCCGGTTCATCACTCTCGCTCTCGCTTTCCGCTGTTATTTTCGGTTTTGGAGGAGGCGCAAAACTTGTGGATGACTTTCTCCTTGAGCTCCATACAATGTTACTTGTATCAATACCCTCAAGCTCTTTTGATATACCCTTCCTCTTTTTTACTTCTTTGATCTCTATCAGAGTAAAGCCAGATAGTTTGTTCATAGTATGTTTACATATTTACCAGATAGAAAACAAACATCAGCATGCTTATTCGCGTTAACATCTTCGCAAGTTGAACTAAGAATCATTCAGAAAAAAACTACTGAACTCTAAAGATGGAAGATATGAGTTTATCTCCAAGCAAAAAAATCAATTCTTAGCGGAACACTACCTTTCTCCGAAGGATCTGAAGACAGCCCTTCTTTGGCAAGTATCTGCTCAAGTTCTTCTATTAGCGTAACCTCACGTTTCTCTTCAGGAGCCTGTTTGGCTTTCTTGTAAATGTTAGGAGGAACACTGCCACAAAAAAATAATAAAACAATAAAATGCCTGGAATATGAACAAATACAGAACTTCTTAAAGATATACCAAGTTTGGTAGAAACCTCATCCCACAAGATTTGATGACTGATTTGAGATGCTCAACACGCTTTCCATACACATCAGTTGCAGTCTCCTTTGTCTGCTGTTGAACAACATTAAAAGCAGAAATCAAATGGGTAAGTTGTACAAGGTTTCAATGGGATTCAAGATAAAAATCACAACCAAGATGTTATACCTTCAAAGATTTTTCACTATCTCCTGCATCACTGTCATTCTCCGAATCTGTTTCTGTATGTTTTGCTTTCTTTCTCCCAGATACATGTTTGCCGTTTTCACTTTTCCGTTTTCCCATCATCTCTGGTTTTGATAATTTTCCTTTTCGGGCCATTGTCTTCTTTACAGCTACTCCCTCGTCGTCCACAGCCCCCTCCGCATCTGAATTAGAATTTTCTTCACTGCTTACCTTCTTAGATAGTGTGCTCTTGACCTTTTTCTTCAGTTTTTTCCCAATAGACTCAGTCGAACGTTTAGGAGCCTCAGGAAGTTGTAGTACCTAATTAGCCAATAGAACTATAAAAAAACTTGCATCTCACTCTAGTCAAGATATTACATAATCAATTGAAAGTACTCACTTCATCCAATTCTTTGTTAATGAACTTCTTGAACGGATCAAGAGACTCCTTCTCTAACTTAAGATCTTCCTCTAAAAGTCGACGAAGTGAAGCAATTGTAATTGTCCTGAAAAGTAAAGCAAGCCATTACTAAACAGAAAAGTATATTTTCTCAAGTCATGGAAGAAGAAACCTTTACTGAATTCAGAACTTCATTTATTAACTTACTCTGAATTAGCCTTAATATACGAAGTTCTTTCCCGGAGGGCTCTCCTTATATCACTCTGCAAGGCTTCTTTATTTCCCTTGTCCTTGATATCTTTAGCTACCCTTTTGGATGTTTTCTCTTCACCAGTATCGTTCTTCGCCTCATGCTCTTCAGATAGTTCTACTACTTCTTTGATAGGAATCACATCGTCTTCGTCTTCCCTCTCAGTTTCTTGAGAATTTTCATCATTATTACCACCAGCTTCTTCTAAACACTGACATCAAAAAGGAAACATTGGTACTCTCAAAAAGGAAGTTCAATTATTATCTTGTTTCAACCATGAAAACAGAAAGATACCTGAACCAATTTCTCTTTAACAAAGCTTTTATACACATCCAAAGCAAATTTCTCCAATCCAATATCTTTCTCTAACATCCTCCGCACACTCACGATCGTGAAGCAGCTGCAAAATTCAAAAAACTGCAAATCATTCTATTGTACTTCGCCGACACATTCCACTATACAAAACCGAAAATCAAAGTGAAACCCTAAATCCAAATCAGAAATGTATATCACCAGTGCCTTGAAAACAATCGAACGTTACTCAATCTCACAGAGAGAATTCACGACATTAGGGTTTAGAGGAAGAGATTGAGAGACAAAGATTTATACTCTGCTTTGTTTCTTAGGCAGGTTACGCGAGATCGCAAAGCCGCCAGAATCTTGAACTTTATCTCTGTTGCATCAATGTCCTTCGAATTACTCTTACCGGAATTCTGATTTCTCTCCTCCGTTTCCATCGCCGTAACCGCCGCGCCGCCGGACATTTCTCACTCAAAAGTGGATTTAAACCTCAAAATCGATTCTATTTAGCATATGTAATAAAATTAATCTATTTATTTGTTTATTTTAATTAAAATAATAATTAGTCAAAACAATAAATTTTAAATTTTTGGACATAATTGCCAACTCAACCTAACATTGGATCTTTATCTATATATATTGGGTCTAATTTAGGCTGTAAATGGTAACATACAATTGTGGAATTGTTGTGGAATTACTGTGGAATTCCTCAAATGTTACATCATTCATATTTGAAGAATTGGTGAGGAAATCTCGGTGGAATTTTTGTTATTTGGTTATAGGAGTCCTACTCCATTCCTTTATTTACTGAATTAATCTAATTTTATTCTTTTTTTTTACCAAAAAAAATGTAAAAATGGGTGAATTATATGGATTTGAATTTTTTTTGTATATTTCTCTATTAGAATTTCTCTTTTAAACATCAACCATCCTAAATTTAGTATAGAGATCGAAGAAAAATATTTGGGTAAGAGTTCATCCACGCTTATAGTTCATAGTTTATATATGTTTGCTTTAAACTATATATTTGGATAAACTGATATGTGCAATTAATTATATCTTAGTATATCAAATTTGAAAAATAATATTAATATTTTTAACAAAAAATTAATTACATCCACTCTTATTAGTTAATTTCTAAAATGTATTTCAAAATAATGTACTTCTAAAATTTATTTTTAAGATAGTCATGTTTAGTAAGCTTATTAAAAATAAAATTTCAAATTAAATATTTGCATATATTTATTTAACTAATATTTTCCACAACAATTAGTTCTTTAATTAATATTTTTATAAATTTAATTATATTATTACTTTTCAAAAATTCAGCTAGATTCAGCGGTTACCATTTGAACTTAAAATTATTCAGCTAGATTCATCAAAAAACCACAAATATATTCAGCCCAATTCAGCCGGATTCAGCGGTTACCATTTATACCTTTAGGATATTTTAATCCCAAATTCTCAAAATCGAATCTCTAATCTTACCATCTACTTATTTTCACAATCCTTTAAAAACCAAGTATATTTTTCTTTTATTCTACAATAAATTTTTACCACCAACAAACTATTATAAACAATCAATGAGAATCATTCTCTCTCCTCTCTTATTAACCACAAAAAAAAATCTCTTATATAACAATCTTGTTCTCGAGATTTTGCAACTTCCAAACTCACATCTCTTATCTTCTCCCTACCAAAAAAAAAAATATCTCTTATCTTCTTCTTCTCCATCCACCATTAAAGCTCACTTCAAGGTAGTTTTAATTTTTTTTTTTTCATATTCTCTAAATTAGCAATGTGACAAGAACTTATATAGATATAGCATTAGCTAATGAAATTGTTGTGAAATCTCAATTTGAATTAAAATAATTGTAGATTTGTGAATCTGTTTGGTTTTTATGCTTATGAAGGTTAGTAGAATTGTTTTTAGGGTATTAAGGTCTCACGTTGATAATTATGATTGAGAAATGTTAGATTCGTAGCTTGAATGCGAAAATTAGTAGAAAATTTGGGGATTGACGATTTGGGATAACTGACAGCTTTGGATACAACTATGTAGAATATTTACGGAGACAAAAATTGGTGCAGCTGGGACAATTGGGTACAACTATGTTTATGCAATGCTACGAAAAATGTTAAATTATAGACCATTTTCTTTCTCTTTTTCTTTTTCAGGTGACAATGAAAAATACTTCAACCATACGTTTTGCTTATGATGGATACTACTCAAGTATCGGAGAAGGTGTACGATGGATTTTAAAAGAAGATGAAGAAGTGCATTCTTTTCGTATGCAATCATCGATTGGAAAGGTATATCACATGCTAAGTTGGTTGAAAAGATATGCAGCAAGAAAATGTTAGATGTGGCTACGACGAAGCTGAGAGTTAGTTACTTTTTCTTCTCATTCCCACAATATAAGGTAATACCAAATTATATTCGGGATGATGAAAATGTTGTGTGTTATTTAAATGATGTAAGTTAAGAAGAGTTTAGAAGTGTTTTGCATGTCGAAATTACCAATAATAACGAACAAAATCAAGGATTGATGAAAATGAGGGTTTGATCAAGTTTTAAGAGAGGATTTGGTAAGGGAAAATGTTGCAAATAATAAAGAAACTCCTCTAATTGGTGGAGCGAATGATAGTGGTGGTGGTGGTGGTATCTTTGCTATGCACGTTGGAGACCAATCACAACAAACTCTGGTGGTAGTGGAGAATGAAGATAGAGATGTAGAAGGAAATGAATCCATACCTCTTTTATGAAAAGATGATCTTGATATTCCGGTAGGCCAAGAATTTAGAAGCAAAGAAGCAATACAATGTTTAGTTGAAAAGAATGGACATAAGAATTGTTTTGAGTTTGTTGTAAAGAATTCGGAGCCGTTGAGATATGTGGTAATATATTCAGAAGCACATCATGGTTGCGATTGGTATGTACAAGCTGCGAGGAGTGATACGTCTAAGCGTTTCTCTATACAAACTCATAGAAATATTCCTTCATGCTCTCGGTCAAGTATAAGTACATGGCGTAGTAGAAGGAAATGCACACCAACTATGGTTGCTTCTTTTTTCACTGAAGATTATTCGGGTAAAATTGCCACGCCAACTCTAAAAGATCTCATTGATTTGGTTCAAGTAAGATTTGGTGTGTAAGTGTCATACTCTATTGCATGGAGAGGAAAAAAATAAGTTGCGAATGATGTTCGAGGTACCCCAGAGGAAGGTTTTATGCTTTTGTATTCTTATATGTTCATGATACAGAAGATGAATCTTGGTACAGTTTCATATGTGGAAGTGGATGAGGAATAAAAGTTATTAGTTCTTCGCATTGGGAGTTTCCATTGAAGGCTTCTGTGTCATGAGAAAAGTGATCATTATTGATGGAACCCATCTTAAGACTACATATGTTGGAATGCTAATTGTTGTTACAGCTCAAGATCCCGATCATGACCACTATCTGATTGCTTTTGGTGTAGTGGATGGTGAGAAAAATGAAAGTTGGACTTGGTTTCTCAAAAAGCTCAAATCGATTATACCAGATGATCCTGAAATTGTGTTTGTTTCTGATAGAAACTAAAGTCTCATCAAGACAATATATGTGGTCTATCTGTTATCTCACCATGGGCACTGTATCCACCATTTGTCTCCGAATGTGAAAGAAAAGGATTTTGGAGTAAGCACAACAATATGTACAGAAAAGTTCATGCGATGTGCTCGGGCTTATACGGAGGCAAAGTTCATATAGCTTTGTGGTGTTCTTTTGTCAACCTATCCTTCGACACGTTTGTATCTAGATGAGTGGGTGGATGTGATGAAATGGGGGTAGATGTTATTTTGGAGGAAAAATATATAACATAGATACAAGCAATGATGTTGAATCTATTAATGGTATTTTAGGAAAAGCTCGGAACTACTCACTATTACAAATGATAGATGCGATTATCGAGAAAATGGCTGAGTGGTTTGGCAAACATAGAAAAGCTTCTGGAGTTCCTTCTCCACAAAAGAAACCCAATACTATCCAGTTGGTAATTTCTCTAGAAGCTTTTCTATATTTTGCAAACCACTAAGCCATTTTTTCGATAATTCCATTTATCATTTGTAATAGTAAGTAGTTCCTTGCTTTTTCTAAAATACCATTAATAGATTCAACAGCATTGCTTGTGTCTATGTTGTATTTTTCTCCTCCAAAATAACATCTAGCCCATTTCGTCACATCCGCCCACTCATCTAGATACAAACGTTCAAAGGATATGTTGACAAAAAATCACTATAAAGCTGTAAAAACTCTACCTCCATATAAGCCCGAGCACATTCCATGAACTTTTTTGCACATATTAATGTGTTTACTCCAAAAACCTTTCCTTTCACATTCTAAGACAAATGGTAGATATAATGCCCATGGTGAGATAATAGATAGACCACATATATTGTCTTGATGAGACTTTGGTTTCTATCAGAAACAAACACAATTTCAAGATCATCTGGTATAATCGATTTGAACTTTTTGAAAAACTAAGTCCAACTTTCATTTTTCTCACCATCTACAACACCAAAAGCAATCAGATAATGGTGATGATCGGGATCTTGAGCTGTAGCAACAATTAGCACTCCACCATATGTAGTCTTAAGATGGGTTCCATCAATAATGATCACTTTTCTCATGACACATAAGCCTTCAATGGAAACTCCCAATGTGAAGAATAAGTTCTTAAACTTTTGTTCCTCACCCACTTTCACATATGAAATTGTACCAAAATTCATCTTCTTTAACATGAACATATAATAATACAGAAGCCTAAAACATTCTTCTAGGGTACCTCGAACATCATTTGCAGCTTTTTTTTTCTCCGTGCGGTAGAGTATGACACTTGTACAACAAATCTTCCTTGAACCAAATAAATGAGATCTTTTAGAGTTACCATGACAATTTTACCCGGATAATCTTCAGCCAAAAAGGAAACAACCATAGTTGGTGTGTCTTTCGTTCTACTTCGTCTTGTACTTATACTTGAACGAAAGCATTAATGAATATTTCTATGACTTCGTATCGAGAAATGCTTAGACGTATCACTCCTCGCAGATCGTACATACCAATCACAACCATGATGTGCTTAAGAACATTTTACCACATATCTCAACGGCTCCAAATTCTTTGCAACAAACTCAAAACAATTATTATGTTCAATATTTTCAACTAAACTTTGTATTGCTTCTTTGCTTCCGAACTCTTGGCCTACCGTAATACCAAGATTATCTTTCCATAAAAGAAGTATGGATTCATTTTCTTCTACATCTCTATCTTCATTCGTCATTACCAGCGGATTTTGTTGTGATTGGTCTCTAGTGCATAGCAAAGATACCACTATCATTCGCTCTACCAATTAGAGTAATCTCTTATTTGCAACATATTCTCTTACCAAATACTCTCAGAAAACTTAATCAAACCTCTCATTTTCATCAATTCCTTGATTTTTGTTCATCATCATTGGTAGCTTCGACATGCAAAACACTTCTAAACTCTTCTTCACTCATATCATTTAAATAACACACAACATCTTCATCATCTCAAATATAATTTTGTATTACCTTATAATGTGGGAAAGAGAAGAAAAAATAACTAACTCTCAGCTTCGTCGTAGCCTCATATACCCTTTTCTTGCTGCATATATTTTCAACCAACTTAGCATATGATACATCTCCAATCGATTACTTCATAAGAAAATAATACACTTCTTTATCTTCTCTTAAAATCTATCATACATCTTCTCCGATACTTGAATAGTATCTATCATAAGCAAAACGTATAACTGAAGTCTTTTTCATTGACACTTGAAACAAATGAGAGAAAGTAAACGGTCTATAATTTTACATTTTTTGTAGCAGTCCATAAACATAGTTGTACCCATTTGTCCAAGTTGTACCAATTTTTGTCTCCATAAATATTTTACATAATTGTACCCAATGGTTCTAGTTGTCCCAAATCTTCAATCTCCAAATTTTCCTACTAAATTCCGCATTCAAGCTATAAATCCAAATTTTCTCAATCATAATTATCAATGTGAGACCTTAATACACTAAAAACAACTTTACTAACCTTAATAAGCATAAAACCCAAACAAATTTATAAATATACAATTATTTCAATTCAATTGAGATTTCACAATAATTTCATTAGCTAATTGTGGATGTCGGATTCACACACTCAAGTATTTTTATTAAGTAGGAAAGATTACTCTTGAGGGACAAAAATGAATATGTAAAAACTTATGAATTGCTACGAAAATTGCTATAGTATCTCTTTCTCTAGAGGAAGATCCCCTTTACATGGCCATTGGCCTTTATATTTATACATAGAGAAACGACATTAAAATGAATAATTAAGTACAATTATTCCCTCTTAAATGTGTCCGTTTTGATCTTTGACTTTAATGCTCAACGTATGAATTTGAGTTGACTCTGATTTTTATGGGCCTCGCCTTTTGGCCCAAATGTCCTTAAGACCGACTTAACCATGACTTCGTCTCCGGACTCGTGTCGAGGTGCAGTCACTTCGGACTCTCTTCACGTTGACAACCACTCCGACTGTTCTTTTGACTTGTGGGTCTAATGGGCTTTATCCTTTATGGGTCGTTATCCTGTCTACGTGGCAATCTTTGGTTGGTCCCGGACTTCTGGTGCGGGATCCGACACCAACAATTAGCCCCCCAAGTTCTTCGAAGTGCCATTCCAATTCGGAGGACTTTAAATGCTTAAATGACCAAAGATTGCGCTCGAGAATCTTTCTGATTTCCCGCCGAAAATCTCATCACTCCTTTAATTTCGGCACTAGCCATTTTTAACCGAGTGACATCTGTCATCATTATGACCGTATATTAATTATTTACTATTAAAACGGGAAAAACCTTCCCACTTCCCACACAACTTTCGAGGCGGTTTCATCATTTAGTTTGTGTAAGGTAACTTCTTTTCACCATCATTTTTTTCTTTTACTTTTGTGCTTTAATCAAAACTTCTCTCTACTTTTCTTTGCCGAAACTCTCTTCGCCGAACCTTGAATTTTTCATTTTCCTCCGATGACTTCCGATTCTGAGAGACCTGAATCTCCGTCTTACGATGAGAGGCGTTCTAGTAATGACGAATGCACTCGTCCTAACGATATCGCCGGTCCTCATTACAAATCCACCTGTACTCTTCAATCCCTTGAGCGATTAAAGGGGCTTTGTCAAATTCCTCCTGGAATAATAGCGGAGGCACAAATAGCCGATCCTACGGAATCTCCGGAGAACCACCGTGACGGGTACTTTTGTGTTTACGAAATTTACTTCAAGGGCTGCGGATTGACCTTCCCCCTTCCCGAAGCCCTAATTCAATTCTTGGCGGCTCTTGAGATTGCTTTACCTCAACTAACCCCCAATCTCCTCCGAACCATCCTCGGGATTATAACCGTTGCGGCAGAGGCTGGCTACATCATTGGAGTCCCCGAGCTGAATGAACTTCTAAGTGTGAGAAGTTCGTCAAAGAAAGCGGGATACTTCTCGGCATACCCAAATGCCAATAGAAACGTCATCTCGCACCTCCCAAACAAGGATGAAAATTGGCACCATCCTTGGTTCCTGATTAAGAAAACTCCTGCTTCGATTGGGAATCTTTCCGATATACTCCCATCGAACTGGTCTACGAAGCCTGGTAGAGACTAGGTCGTATATTCCTTTCCTTGTCGTTTTATTTTTTTTACTGACCAAATTCGTTGTTTTACTTCGCAGCTCTCATCGCTTCAACTCTCCCGACTGAAGAATTTGTCAAGTTCTTCAAAACAATCCTCGAAGGGGAAACCCTTTGGAATTCTTTCACCCTCAATCGGTTTGTCGAGGCCAACCGAAAACTCAGGATGAGTCCTCCCAATCTACTTCATCGTCTTCCGCCTCCTCCCTCAACTCAGGGAATGTCAGCTCGGGCCCTTACTGCCCAGCGTAAGAAACTCTCCAAGACGATAGCAGAGGCTTGTGATGAAAACAAGGCGTTCCTTGCGGCCGCCATTGACAAAAAAGATTACAGCAGGACCCTGCTGGTTGATGATAACAGCTCCGAGGGAGCCAGATCCGTTGCTGCTTATAGGCTAACACCTCGTCGCGAACGTTATGACGAACGTTCTCCTCGGAGAGAGCGATCTCCTCGTCGTGATTCTCCTCGTCCTCCCCGAGACGATTTCAGCAATGAACCACTTAAGAATTTGGTTCGTAGGAAGAGGGACAAGTCATCCCGTAGTGACTCGTCTCCGCAAAGGGAGAAATCAAGGGCCCGGACTGACCGTTCACCTCGATCATCCCCTCCCACTGAACCAATGGGTCCTCCCCGACCTGTTGACATGTCTTCTTCTTCCCAGCCCGACAGCGAAAAGACTGCTCGGAGTGCATCTCCTAAAAAGGGAGATTCTGAATCTCGAGATGCTTCCTCGAGGTTAAAGCCTGCTCTTGTTCCTCAAGTCAAATCACTTTCAGGTTTGGTGATTTACACATACTTAAACGTTTTTGTCTCTATTAAGATTCCAATTTTTACAACTCTTCCTTCTTCGCAGCTATGGAGAAAGAAGGCAGCGTCTTCCAATGCTTCAAGACCCGATCGGGTTCGGTCTTGCCAGACTTCGACAAGTGGCGCCCTGCGATTCGTGAACGCTATTTGCTTCACGCTCATCATTCATCTCGGGTTAGTTCTATTTTTTGTTTTTTTTTTTTTTTTTTTTTTTTTTTTTTTTTTTTTTTTTAATTGTATTGCCATTCTGCAAACTGACTTGCCATCCCGGGTTTATATATAATGCCAGGCTCACAGCGAACTTAACGACATGATTGAACATTACGAAGGGTTGGTCATTGGACGGGAGAAGGAGATTGACACGTGGAAGAAAAAATTCTCTGCTCTTGAGGCTGAACACAGTTCTTCTGCCGGCTCCAAGCACGATCTGGAGGACAAGGTCGACAGTTTAACATCCGAGCTTGCGCAGATAAAGGGGGAGCTGCAAGACCAATACGACCGGAATTACAAACTCCAGGATGAACTTTCTGGTGTTCAGGGTAGACTTCATGAATCCGAATCAACCGCCGATACCCTAAATAACCAACTTATCGAGCTTAACGCGAAGTACAAGGCGTTAGCCAAGTTGCGTGATTCCGAGTTGGCAAGGTCAGCATCGAAAGCCAGAAAAGATGTTAAGGGACGCGGGATGGAGTTGATCCAGGGGGCCATCCGCTTCATTCAAACCGAGAAGGCTAGGTCAGATCTGGAATCGGACTTCAAGGAGCACGAAAGCAACCTGATTCTGTTGGACCAAATCCATGATGCAGATTTCTCCGAGGTGCAAGAGAGGGCCGAACTGTCGACCAATCTTTCTGAAAAGCGGAGTCGTTTGGCAGATCTTCCCGCTTCGACTTTCAACCCACAGGACTTTGAGGAATTCTGCACAGAATCTCCTCCTATAAGTGAATCGGGTCTAGACTGGGCGGGTAACTTTTGGTCCTTGATACTCATTACCTTTTCTTACCTTGTACCTTTGATTGACTGAAATTATTTTTTTTTTTTAGGCTCAAGTGAGACGGAAGACGTTGTCCCACCCGAAGTTCCTGCGGCGCCGGAGGTCACTCCGGAGGATGGTTGTACCGTGGAGGGTGGTCCAGGAGCTTCATCTGATCAAGCGCCAGTTAAGGAGGCGAGTGAAACTTTGACAGCTGAGCCGGAGTCCGAGGTGGATGTCGATCCGTAGTGGCTGTGTCCACTTTAAACTGGGGATTGTCCCATTTAGTTTAAACTTAATTTCGAACTTATTTTTGGCGTAAGGAGGCTTTATCATTTCTTTTGAACAAGATATTTGCCTGAGGAGGCTTTTAAACCTTTCTAGGTTATGACCCAAGGGGGTTTGGTTAAAATTATATGCGGGTTTGCAAAGTCCGCTTTTAACCTTTTGTGGCTTTGTGGTTATGCTTTTGAGATTTTTAGGCTGATCAAACCTTTCTCTTAAGAATGCGAGAACTGAGCTCGGCTTAAAGCGAGTTCCCCACTTCGGGTTTAGTCAACTCGATAAATTTATTGGGCTTGGGCCTTAGAAACTTTTGTAGTTAATGCGACGGTTGCTTTTTCCCTTCTTATTTCTTAAAAGTAGGGGAAACGGCTCGTCTTTAATGCAAAAACTGCATTTTCTCGATTTTCCAAAAATGGTTTAAACCACTCGGGCACACTACCATTATTGGATTTATGGTTCCAAGACAAACCCTAAATCATTATAAATAAAGGCTTACCTATCTCTAAGCTTTATTTAAATACTTTTTAGAATCTTACTTGAGAAATATTACGAGAATGGAAAACGAAAAAGTAGCCCCCGTTGATCCCGGCAGCCCACTCTTCTTGTCCGGCGACGGCTTTGAACCGGCCGGCGTTCTCTTCCCTCACGCCGTCTTTCACTTTCCTTCAAAGGAGAAAAAAGAGGCTTGCGACTTTATTGACAAGGTTAATATCTGTCGTCTTTGATTAAAAACTTTTTGTTTCATCTTATTCATTCATCTTTATGCTAGGTTGCCGACAAACACCGTCGCTTGTGTGAAGAGAGGCAGCGGCTAGGCCTTAAAAGACAAACACTCGAGGCTCGCATCGCTCGGGTGGAGAGGAAGATACGGGCTTTGGAAAGTGATCCCTTTCAATGGGAATGGCGGAACTTTGATTCTGTCGCTGAGATCCCGAAGATGCTTCAGATGTATCTCCGTGCTAAAGGAGTCCCGGGTCCCGTGAATGCCCCGGTTTATACCGTTCCATCGGACAGCGAAGAAGAAGACGAGGAGGAGGCCAGCACCTGTCGGAAACGCGTTCGGGATCATCCCGAAGTGGATGCCAAGAACAAGGCGTCCACTTCGAAGACTAAACTGGCGATGAAGGAGCCTGTTCCTGAGCCTCTTCCATAAATGTCCTCTAACTTTTTCACTTATTTTGAACTCGTAACGGGCTTCGGCCCCTTTTTATTTATGGAAACATTTG